AGCTATGATATCCCTTGTTCCACATCCTCTTCTGAATACAGCTTGCACCTCTGGAAGTCCTCTGTCAATATACTGCTACAACCATTTTTGAATTATCTTCAGTAAGATCTTACTTGCGTGTGATATTAATGATATTGTTCTATAATTTCCACATTCTGTAGGATCACCTTTCTTTGGTAGGCAGATTAGATTTGCTTATAATTCTCAGACCTAAGTCATCCTCTCCCCTTCAGATTTATTCTGAAATAGCTGCACTTTAAATTGTCATTCTAGATCCAAATATCAAACTTGTTTATAGATTATCCTAAATAAACCACTACCCACTGCCATCGAGTCGATTCCAATTCCTAATGACTATAGGACACAATAGAACTGCCTCATAGGGTTTCCAAGGCTATAAACCTTTATAGAAGCAAACTGCCTCTTCTTTCTTCTGTGGAGCAGCTGGCAGGTTCAAACTGCTGACCTTTCGGTTAGCAGCCAAGAGCTTAACCATTAGCACCACCTAGGGACTCTGTAATGACAAGCCTTAACCATTGCACCACCAGAACCAATATATCACTAGATAATTACATATATTTTTAATTTATGCAATCAATAATATTCCGTGAAGGTCATATCTGTATTTTGCTTCTTTTGTATCTTCTGTTGGTGTTTGATCAGTGTAAAGTAAGTAGTTTAATAATCTTATCCTTTTCTTTAATTCAAACTATCAAAGCTAGCTTGCCTTTGTTCCACCTAAAGAGAAGTAACAATTAAAAAGTAAAAATTTAATCTTTACAAATCAATCAGTATCAAAATGAGACTCAAAAACAAAGACAACCGTATATTCAAGTCCATCAGAAGACATTTACCTGGTCTATGGGAACACCAAAGTATTCCAGCATCTCTCTTAATATATTCAATATGAGAGACATTGATCAATCAAGTACAGAATCAACTTCAAGGAAACATGATCAGTTAGTTTCTTGATACCTTCGGGAAAAATTTTTAGAAAATATTAGTCTTGAAGATAAAAAACCAAACTCACTGCCATCGAGTTTTTTAACTCATAGCGGCCCCTCCTTGGGTTTCCGAGGCGATGTCACTACAAAAGCAGATTATCTGCTCAATCTGCCTTCCAAGGAGTGGCTGGTGGATTTGAACCGTTACACACTACTGTACTAAATAAGCCAGAAGAGGCTTTTTATTACATATTTCACCATCAACTAATCATTCTTGGCCAGCATTATTTCGAAGGATGTCAAGGGGTGCGGGAAGAGAGAGACGAGCTCGGAAAGGAAACTTCAACATATCGATTAAATTGCATTAAAAGTCCATAAAATGTTTGAGCCTACGGAAGAGCCTAAAACGGGCCTGATTAACAAATATTAATCAACAATAGATAAGACACTTACCAGGGAAGCCTTCAGACTTCTGTTTGAGACTCTTTGGAGCGGGGTGAGTTCAGCAGACCCTTGAGGCAGCGAGGGGCCCGACTCAAAACTTCAACAAAACATAAAGTAGTTCTTCCTCACAAAAGAATTGGAGTACTGCCCATCCGTCATGGGAGCTCTGGTAGCATAATGGCTAAGACACTTGCCTGCTAACCAGACGACTGGCGGTTCAAACCCACCAGCCACTCCTCGGAAGGAAGGTTGGGCAATCCTACTTCCGTAGTGATACTGCCTCGGAAACCCAAGGAGGGGTCGCTATGAGTCGGGGCCGACTCGACGGCACATAACAGCAACACAACAGCAGCCCATCCGTCAATGCTGAACCCCAGAGAGGGACCTGACTTAGCCGTCTCCTGTGCCCAGGTAGTATCACTCGCTTTGGCCACAAGCTTCCTGGGATCGCCCCAAACCCAGCATAGTCGCCGTGCTCACCTTACTCCAAAGCCGAGACCCCAGGTCACTATTGAGAAGTTGAATTGCAGGCGTTACGGGGCCCGGACTCGGAATCATCAATCAAGGAGGACAGGACGGCTTGCACTCGTCCCCAGTCCGCCTGCCCTCACTCAGCCGGGGTAACACCGCAGGAGGCCTAGCAGCCCGCCTCCTCCGCTGCAGGACCTCTACTTCCGCGGACCCGGAACTCAGAAGTTGACCAAGAAGAAAATCAAACTCGGCGGGCCGTGTAACCTGTACCCTCTCTCATTGGACAAAGCTGAAAATGGCTTCTTGTGATTGGTAGCTGGATTACGTCAGGGTCGTTGTGATAATTTGCACAGGCCGAAGAAGCTGCCGAGTTTCTCCTTCTCCCTCGAGGGGCGGGTCTTCCATGAGGCAACCAATGGGCGGGGCAGGCTGCGCTGACCTCGGCGCACGCAGAAATCTCGGCTAGAAGGTTCCGGGAGCCCTTCCTTGAGAGTTGCTTATTGGAGCGCTCCTTGAGCCAGGCCCTCGATCCGGAGTTCGTGCCCCACATGGCTCTTCGTGGCGAGAATATCTCCTCCACCATACCCGGGCCCCAAGCGAAGCTGCTGCTCTCCTGCTGCGGAGAATCACGATTTCTTTTTCAGTCATTCACTAGTTCGTTCAGTGAACAGCTATTAAATGCCAGTGGGCCAAGCAGAAGCTAAGTACTGCCCTCGAGTGTTTTGGAGTAATTAAGAGTCCTTTGTCCCAGAGTATCAAATGTGGGCCGGACACTGCTCTGGACTAAGTGAGGATGGTACTGACGTGTAAAATGTGATCTCCCAGTTTTCGATTCTGACTTGAGGTAACTCACGGCGTCGTGAAAAACGACTTCTCGCATTTTAGCAGCAAGTGAGTCAGACTGACACAATTTAGGGTCAGTGGTGTCTGTTGCTGACCTGCATAATAAAAATTGGGGGAATATTTTAACTGTTCCCCTATGGTTCACATCATTGATTCATTCGTTCAGCTAATACTGAAAGTACTGGGTGCCATGCACCTTGCTGTTATGTGCCATCCAGTCGGACCGACTCATAACGACCCCTCCTTGGGTTTCCGAGGCGGTATCACTGGGGAAGTAGATTGCCCAACCTTCCTTCCGAGGAGTGGCTAGCACAGGAAATGCAGTAATGAGCAAGGCAAGTAAGGGCCTGCCCTGGGGCTTGCATTCTAGTGGAGGAGACTTCAGAGAGGCTTTCTCTGAACACCATAAATAAATGGCATCCTTCCTCAGTCTTTTTGCTTCATATTTATTTTTCTTTATAATACTTATCACATTGTATATTTATGCTCCCCCTACCACTGAACTAGACTGTAAGAGAACAGAAACTTTGTTCTGATCTACGTGCTTTAGAAAAGTGCCTGATACATGATAAATATCTGTTCAAATAACTGGGTGTGGAATGAGAGAAAATTGATAATCAAGAATGAGCCCCTGGAGGACTCACGCTTCCTGATTTTAAAACATACAGCTGCGGTAATCAGAACACCCTGGTGCTAGTCTAACAATAGGCATATACGCCAATGGAACAGAATTGAGAGGCCAGAAATAAACCCACACATATGGTCAATTGACAAGTGTGCTAAATCCATTAGATGAAGAAAGGAGAGTCTCTTCAAGAAAGTGTTAGTAAGATTGGATTTTCACATGTAGGAAAAAAAAAACGGGATCTAGGCCTCATGCCATACACAAAAACAAATTCAAAATGGATTAAGGACCTAAATGTGCAAACTAAAACCGTAACATTCTTAGAAGAAAATGCAGGGGCAATACTAACAGTCCTAGCTTTTAACACTGGATTATCTAATATAGTAACAAAAGCACAAACAGCAAAATGGGACCTCATAAAAATTTTAAAATTTTGTTCATCAAAAAACTTTACAAAAAAAGTGGAAAGAGAAGCTACCAACTGGGAGAATATCTTCTGAAACCATATATCCAATAAGAATCTAATAACCAAAATGCATATACAACTTAACAAAAAGACAACCCAATCATAAAATGGGCAAAGGACTTGAATAGACATTTCACCAAAAAGGACATTCAGATGGCCACTAGACACATGAAAAGATGCTCAGCACCACTAGCCATCAGAAAGATGCAAATCAAAACTACAAGATACCATTTTATTCCCACTGGGGGAAACTGGAACCCTTATTCACTGTTGGTGAGAATGCAAAATGGTACAGCTGTTGCAGAAAACACTGTGGTGGTTCTTCAAATAACTAAAAATAGAACTACCACATGATCCAGCAATTCCAGTCCTAAGTACATTTCCAACACATTTGAAAACAGAGACTCAAAATTTATACACCAGTGTTCACTGCAGCACTATTCACAATACCCAACAGGTGGGAACAACCTAAATGCCCATCAACAGATGAACAGATTAACAAAATGTGGTACAATGGAGTACTACTCAGCCAGTAGGAGAAATGGAGCCTTGATAGAGGAGTCTTGATACATGCTACAGTACAGGTGGAGGCTGGAGACATTATGCTGAGTGAAATAAGCCAATCACAAAAGGACAGATATATGACCTCACTTATGTAAAAGGGCAAATATATAGAGTTTATTGGTGGTTACCAGGGGTGAGAAGTAGAGGAGAAAGGAGAGTTAACAGTGATGGGAAAATCACATTAAGGAGAGGGTTGCACATGTGATTATTGTAATTGCTGTCAGTGAGTTGTACACCTGTAAAAAGTGGATTTGGTGAGTTGTGTTATATATTTACAACAAAGCAAGGGGAGGGAACTTCTGAGGCTGCTTTGCTTTGTACAACCCATCACCTAAAGAGATTCCATTCCTTGGTTTGGAGGTTTAGGGACATGGTTTCATGGGACATCCCAGTTAACTAGCCTAGTAACATGTCTATTCTATGTCATAGTTCACTGCATGATGCCTGGAATCTTAAAAGCTTACAAACAGCCATCCAAGTCACAACCGAGAAAGAAGGAAAGTCAGGAATAGGAATAGGCGGCTATGGAATGTGGCTAAATACCTCTATGAACAACTGCCTCCTTTGCCATGAGGCCACAACTGGATGATGCCCGAGTTCCATTACTGAACATTTTGAACAAAGATTCCACAGAAGAATTCTGATCAAAAGGGGAAAATGCAAAACAGAATTTCAAATTTAAAGACTCTAGACTCTGGAGCCATGGAGGGTGGATGACCCTCTGTTACTATTGCTCTGAGATAATCTTTAACCTTAAACCAAAAGATCCCCTGAAATCCTAACACCTAATAGAGCTTAACTAGTCAAAATGGCCTTGAGCACTATGCTCTTGGAACAACTATCCACACGCAATCACGTTGACAACAGCAACTGGAAAGGTCACACAGGAACCTTAGGGGGAATGAGTTCATGTTCATAAGGGAGGAACAATTTCAGAAAAAGAGGGTGCAAATGGAAGAATGTAATCAATCTCACTTAACTGTGCATATAGCAACTGCTGAACTGGTTTATAATTTGCTTTGTATATTCTCAACAATGTTATTTAACAAAATAAAATTTAGAAGGAAAAAAAAAAAATGACCCGTGTGTTTGGGAACTGTGACGGGCCTGTAGACAAAGCTGAGTAAGGATGAGGGCAGGGCACGAGGGGAGTGCGTGATGGACAAGGTGAAAGCAGAAGGCAAATGCATCCCTTCCCTTTTGCCTTCATAGATGAGTAAATCCCAATGTTATACCCTTCTCTTTCCAGTCTCATATCAAATATAGCACATAATGAACATGACCAGAATGGTAACATCCCTTGAAACACGAGGCTGGGAAGCAGCCAGTGAAGCCTTCCTCAAGATGCACTAATAAAATGAAACTTACCATTCGCAAAGTACTTTCATGATTTTTTGCCCTTCTACATATTCATTGTATTGATTAATATTTACTCATGTTTTGCCACATCTTCTCATTTTTCAGTTAACCATGAAGGACAACAGCAGCTGTGAAGTTGATGCATTGTGCTCAAAGACAGCACCACGGTGAAAACACTGCAACTATTTTTATTTCACACACTATTCCTGAAATCTGTATTGCTTTTCTATGTCCTATTATTTTTCAGTTACCTTGAAAGTCCCATGGACTGCCAAGAACTAACAAATCTGTCCTGGAAGAAATGCGGCAGGAATGTTCCGCGGAAGTGAGAATGGCCAGACTTCGTTTGACTTACTTTGGTCATGTTGTCAGAAAAGACCATGGAGAAGGAAATCATGCTTGGTAAAGTGGAAAGTCAGCAAAAATGGGAAGACCCTCGACGAGATGGATTGACACAGTGGCTGCAACAACGGGCTCAGGTATAGCAGGGATTCCGTGAGGCTAGCACAGGACCGGGCAGTGTTTTGTTCTGTGTACATAGGGTTGTTATGAGTTGCAGCTGACTCAACGGCACCTAACAACAATGGTGAATTGGCGAGAGGACTTGGTATAATGGTAAAGTGGAGAATCTGATTTGGGAGTTCTGGTGGCGTAGTGCCTAAGGCATTTCATTGCTTATCAGAAGGCTGGCGGTTCAAATCCACCAGCCACTCTTCGGAAGGAAGGTTAGGCAATCTATTTCCGTAGTGATACAGCCTCAGAAACCTAAGGAGGGGTCGCTATGAGTCTGATCCAACTCCACAGCAGTTTCTGCATTGCAGAGAATCTGAAGTTATACTTAAAACTTAGTATTTTAAAACAAAGTTTTGTTTGTAGTTGGGAATTGGTAATTAGCACTGAAAAGTTGTCCTATAACTTACAGATGCATTCACCTATCTTTAAACCAATACTCCTATACCTTATTTGCTGTGCCTTAGGACACCTTATCCCAGAAATTCCAATTGTTTTTTCTAAAATCCCTCTTCTGAGTGTAGGGTTTACATTTAACTTTATCTAACAATTTGGTCTTTGTCCCTGGTTCCTGAGATAACCTCTAAAACCTTGAAATCTCCCCAGTGACAGAAATGTCTGTGATGAGGCCTTAAGACCACACCTGAGCTCGTACTAAGGTGCCTAGCCCATGTCGTGACTATCACCAGATTATCACGTAATGGGGCAATAAAGGCTCTGGACACACAAGTTCTTTGGGAGGGTAGTCTTGTTGGGACATGGAAGCTTCAAGTTGGGAACCATGCCAGAGCTCACCAAGCCTCTTCATTTGTGTCCTCTTATTTCAGAAAACCTGTAACCTTAAGTACAGCACTTTCCATGAGTTGAGTGGTTCTAGCAAATTATCAAACTCAAAGGAATTGGGACGTCAGGCCTGGGGCCTCCTGAACTGACGGCATCCTGAGAGGCAGAAGGAAACTAATTTTACGGTCAGCAGATGGAAGGTGACAGGGGAGTCTTGAGTACCTCCCAATTCATAGCTAGCAGGCCAGAGGCGAGTCCCAGGGACTCCCTAGCTTGCAGCTGGCTGAGACCTTCAGTAAATCTGGCAGTCTGGAGGACTGTGCCCCTTGTGAGGCCTGACCTAGTTCCTGGTGGCTAGCGTCAGGGAAAAAGGTGCTGCCTGTGCAGTTATCAGTGAACCAAGACTGTTACTGGGTTGCACTGATTTGACCCTCCTATTTGGTGTTAGAGAAGTGAAATTTGATTT